CTGAAAGACTAACCTGTATACAGGAATTGTATTACAACAAATTTCATTATGGATTTCACCTAAATTATCATATTCTTCGTCTGCAAACATACATTACAGATCCAGTCAGTTGAAACTGAATGTTTAACATTTCATCACTGACTAGACAAATGTTTTGCAGAAAACTTTATAATTATTCCTAACATAAAAATTTGTGAAATATTGAAATTTCAAATTAGTCGTTATTGAAATTTGTGAGTGAAATAAAAGTGAAAAAATATGGATTGAATTGGTTGAATCTTATTCAACAATTTGCATGGCCGTGGAGGACAACAAATCTGGCTAGATTGCACAATACGCTAGAATAGTTGATATATTAAAAAGGAGAAAGTGCCAAACCGAGTATAGCCAAATGCGAGGAAGGAAGTTGGTTACCGTTAGCAACCAGCTCAGAGGCCGAGAGATCCTATAAGAATCGTTGCCAAAACTAATCCGGATATAATTGGCATCGTCAGATGCAAACATTCTAGTTTTGTTTCTGATTGAAGGTAAAAGCTATAATCCCATCTTCCAATGCATATCCTTACTCGCTGGATCTAAAAAACCTGTATGATTCAATCGTATCGCTTGTTATATTTTTGGTACAGCCCACATTTTTAAACCAATGGTAGAGCTCTTCGTCCATTAGTTCTCTTCTCTATGAAAGGAATGCTTGAAATGTCAGAAAAGCCAGTAAGCAAATAAATTTCGTCTTATTTTTCTTAATCATGTCAACAAAATTGAAAACAACGTTGCTGAAGTCTTTTAGGAAGTTACAAAGAAATCAACTCGTTTTATTTTTGACCAGTCAAAGAATGAACGCTTCACAATTCAACTGGGTTTCCGACAACTTCACCGACGACTAAAAAATAGTTGGAAAGTTGATATGTCAGTTTTGAGCCATTTAAACACCCTAAACAATCAAACCTTTCATCTTTACTGCAGAAGAAAACAAACAAGTTTGGTGCAACCTGGAAGACAAATTCAAATAAAATTTCGTTTTTAGAAACACAGATGAAATTACAAAAGAAACTTTCGAAGACTGTCGCGTTTTTATTATTCCTCATCCATTAAAGAAGTTTACCCAAGAAGAGGTGAGTGTGCTTTGATGACATAGCGCTTCCGTAACTTTTAAATACAATAAATCTACGGCAACAATTCAGAATATAACTTAAGCATCAGTTTTTGCTTTTCAGTTTGAAAGTATTCGATGGTTTCTTGAGAACGGTGGTAGCGTAATCGTATTTATGAGTGAAGGCGGTGAAGTGAGCTCACAGACCAACATCAATCATTTTCTTGAAGAATTTGGAATTGTTTTCAACCAAGGTACGCTGTTGATTTCAAATCTTCTCCTCTTTTATCCCCGACTCGTCATCATCATTTCGCGTGCAAAGAATCCTATATTCCTGGTTTCTGTTCTTTCAGATGCTGTAATAAGAACAATATTTCACAAATATTTTGAGCCAAAAGAAGCGCTCATATTTGATGGAATTCTGAACAGAGCAATTAGTCAGGCAGCTGGAGCTGTAAGCAGCAATGCTGACGATAATAATAACTCCCAGTCAGTTAGACTGTTTTATTTTGTGAAAAGAAACTGCAGCTTAAATACACCAAACAATACCGTATAAAGGATCAATTTGAACCTATGAAACTATTTGGCATTAAAGAACGCATTAAAGTTATTTAGGGCTTTGGCAATACTCTATCCGTTCGGTTCAACGTTAAATGTCAGTAAAAAATCGTTATCCGTACTTTCCACTGGAAGTGCTTGCTATCCAGCATGTCGGCCTATTTGCGCTTTCCACACAACAGAAGTCGGAACTCATTTAATTTTACTCTTTTATTGGATTGAATGAAATTTTTAAGACCGTTCGACGATGAACATTCGTCAGCGGAACACTGAAAAAATTTAAATTGAAAACTTTGCCTTCTAACAAAGCAGTGCTACATGAACAGTAACTCCACTTACTACAATCAGTGATAAACTGGCAGCTATCAAGGAATCTGAAAACTATAGCATCTTTCTCAAAGATCAGTGTCACTCAACTATACGTTTTATTTAAGCACTCAAACGGAAAACTAATTGCACTAGGTTCAGTACATATGTTCACGGATGGCTATATTGACAAGGAGAAAAATTATAAATTATGGGTAAGTGGTTTCTCGAGACTTCTCTGGCACCAACAAAATTGGTGAAACCACTCGACAAAACATCGCCAATTTAAAAATTTTATTTTTAGGAAGTTATGGCAACATTTTTAACCGAAGGGCTCGAACTGAATCTGCTGGACAGTACAGAGCCCGATTTAATGGATGACCACTGTATTCCAGATCATATAGAACTGTCCACACAAGTTAAAGTTTGCCTACAAGAATGCGATTTTGACACTACAGAAAGCAACAATTTCATGGAATTGTTCGACACAACTTTATATTCCGTTGATCTTTCGAAATGGGCAAAAGCAATTCAGTCAGTGAAAAAAAACCAGCTTATATAACCCGCAGTACCATACTCATTTTCGCTAATATGTAGTGCTCTTTCGAAGCCTATAGCATCAGAAACAAACATGCAAAAAACAATTGGGTAATATTTTCCAGAACTTATGAAGATGTTGGATTAAAACATGAACCTCTGACCCTAATTGTTCCTCAGTTTGAAGTTCCGCTGCCGCCCTTGGAACCTGCGGTAAGTTTCCCATCTTTTCCTCCTTTTTTTTTTTTTGAATAAACTAGTAAGAACTTGTTTCACTTCGATTACCTTAATCAGCTTGAGATAAACAGGAGGTTCAAGTTACAAGTCCGGCAAAGACTTCAGGTATTTCCGCCAGAATTTGGTGAGTTGCCACCACCAAAACTGGAACTGTTCGACTTAGATGACATGTTTGCTTCAACAGAAACTCAGCTTGCACGGCTAGCCAACAAATGTTCGTTTGAACCCCAAAATTGTGAAACAAATAAACCATAAAAGCTGACAATTGCGAACTATAAGTCCCATTACAATTCAAATTTATAATCTCTGCTTATGTAACCCTCCCAAAAACATTTTCAAGGTGGGGAAGACGATTGTGCGTACTTCTTGAAAGAGGCTGGTGAAATACTTGGCATTACCAGGAACCTACCTCACAACGACCGAACCCCAAAAAGAATACTCGAATATGTATTAATTCAAGTATCAGAATTCAAGAAGCTCAATCAGGTAACACTTTTAATAGATAAAAATTTAGTGACCCTTCTGGGTCTGTCAACTTCTTATAAATCTTCTCCTTGACTAATTTAGAAATTACACCTCAAAATTTTAGGAAGAAGATGAAGTCGATCAAAACTTCACAGAGGACTTGAATGCATTCCACGCAACGCTTGATCAAGACTCAGAACAATTTTTAAACGATATGGATGACTACGATGAATTACCCTGATAAAACCTGACCTCATACACATAAGTTCAAATATTTTTAGACTGTTGTTTTTCCACTTCTTTTGAGCACAAAAAAACAGATTTGAACCGAATAAGGTTCTTCCAGCAAAACCTTGCAAAATCAACAATTTTTCTCATCAGATTTTTCCCCAAAACGCAATAGAAATAAATTATGACTAGTCACTACCTGCATACAATATATAACTGACAAAGGGGCCGCGTTAGTTCTCCAATTAACCCCTAAAATATAGAGAAATAAAGAAAGCTGAAAGAGATCAGAACTTCTCGCTACCAAAAACAGCAAATCAGCTGTTTCCCACTACACTGTACATACTAAAAGTTTTCCGCGAAGGAGAAATTAAGATTTATAAATTAGCTGCTGTGAAATTAAAAACTACCGTTTTGTACCATATCGCATAGTAACACAGATATTATAAAACAAAACCATTTTAAAGATCAAGCAGTCGCAAAACAAAGACCAAAAGTTATTGTGCAGCAAACATAGCTGTACGTTAGCAGTGCCAACTTTGCCTTAAATGGCTATAAATAATCATAAAACTTGGTAAAACTAATAGTTATAGCTGATAATAAAGCACTAAAAAAA